TTCTTACTATTTTAGTCATTTTTAGCATTAGTTGGGAATAATTGCTAAGTGTGATGATGAAATAATTCCAAGAATGATGAAATAGCAAAATGTTTCAAGATAGAGAAAAGACAAGATCACTAAGATCCCATAAAACATCATAGATTTATAAAAGGGTCAGGTAGATCCTTGTGTAAATTAGTAGATAAAGTTTTCGTCTTTTTAAAAAAATGAGTTTTCTGTGTGGCTTTTGTAAGACCTTTAAGAAAAATGAAAGTAATGAAGTGCTAAACCTAAAATAATGGTGCTCAGAAAAGACATTCAGAACCTAAAATTGGGTCTATTAGATCTTTTTTCTTTTCCTAATTTAAAAAAATATATATTTTTATTGATTTCAGAGAGGAAGGGAGAGGGAGAGAGAAATATCACTGATGAGAGAGAATCGTTGATCAGAAGCCTCCTGCACGCCTCCTATTGGGGATCGAGCTCGCAACCTGGGCATGTGTACTGTCCAGGAATCCACCTTGACCTTCTGGTTCATAACCTCCTGAATCAACCACTGAGCATACCAGCTGGGCAATGGAATCTTTGTGGTAAACTGAGGGTTAACTATTTTGTGGCTCTTTGATTTATCCATTCATAAGTAGCTACTTTGTTCAAGATTCTGTGCGCTTACAGTCATGTTTATTTTAATATTGAGGGTAAACAATAATTGATTATGAATCTTTTCGTGTTTAACTTGTATTCTGACCCAAATAATTATTATTTATTAAAAATATATTTGATTTTATATGACATTATTGATTGCTTTTAAAGTAATATTTGACTTGAGAATTTGCATACAGTTTCATTGTGAATGGCAGAGAATGTGCACAATACTGCATTGCTAGCTATTTTATGGGACCACTGGTGAATCTATCCAATGGATCAACTACTTAATTTGTTAAAGAGATTTTATGATTATATGTGCAGTATTATATAGAATTTGGAAAGCAATAGTTCCTGTTAGCTTAAATATTCACATTCATTCTTAACATATTTGTACATATCTAAGATACCTAAGAGGAAAACTAAAAAAAAGAAAAGAAAGACTGAAGACTAAAAAAGATCAGATGTACCAGTTAATAATGGGGATTTTATAATAAAAGGAAATGATAATTTCAAGAGAAACATCAAAAGTGCTTTATTCAAAGTAATGTCCATCGCTAGGTACACAATTCTCCCATCTTTCAGGTAATTTGTGTATACCGTGCCAATAGAACTTTTCTTGTTTTGAGACAAACCATTCAGAGACACAATTTTCGACTTCTTCATATGTTTTGAAGTGCTGCTCAGAAAGTTTGTGTGCCACTGATTAGAACAAGTGGTAATCTAAAGGAGCAAGGTCTAGTGACTACAGTGGGTGGGTTAATACTTCCCAGGCAAGATCTTCTAACGTGTCCTAAACTGGTTTTGAAGTGTGTAATGGTGCGTCATCATGAAGCAAAATTACTTTGCCATGTCTTCGGGCACATTCTGGATGTTTCATAATCAAAGCATGGTTCAAATTGATTTTTTGTTGTCGGTAGTGATCAGTATTAATGGTTTCACCTGGCTTTAGAAGCTCATCATACACCACACCTTCCTGATCCCACCAAATGCAGAGCATTGTCTTCTTTCTGAAGCGATTTGGCCTTGCAGTTGATGTTGGTGGTTAACCTGGATCAATCCATGATTTTGTGCATTTAGGATTCTCAAAATAAATCCACTTTTCATCACCAGTCACAATTCGATGCAAAAAAGACTTTCTTTCATGCCGTTGAAGCAACATTTTACTGATGACTTTCGGTTTTCCATTTGTTTTTCTTTCAGTTGATATGGCACCCATTTTCTTTCCTTTAAAATCTTTCCCATTGCTTGTAAACAATTGGAAATTGTTTGCTGAGCAACGTTTAATCTTTCTGCAAGTTGATTTTGAGTTTGACATGCATCTTTATCTAATAATGCTTGTAATTGTTTTTCTTCAAACATTTTTGGTTGACCTGAACATTCTTTGTCTTTCACATCGAAATCATCACTTTTAAAGCATTTAAACCTGCATTCACAAGTATGTTGAGATGGAGCATGTTCACCATAAGCTTCCCAAAGTATATGATACTCTTTCTTCAAAATAAAGTAATGAAATAAAACTCCCCACAAATGCTCTTTTTTTTGGCATGAAATTCGACATTTTTAAGCATAAAAGTATCTGTGATGTTAACACCTTCAGAAAATTTGACATGAAGTTTTGAAGCCTGCTGTCAATACAAGAAAATAGTGTACATATCAAATCGTATATATATCAACATATGTGTAATTCCATCTATTGAAAAAAATCTGCATTATGAACCGATACACCTGTAAAAATACAAGGCCTTATGTAAAACTTATACAATTTTAAGAGTCCGGAGAAAGGGACCAGAAGGGACTAAAATGTATAATTTGTCACTAGTGCAATATTTTTATTGTTGTTTTTAAATTGTTTTTTATTTTAGGTTTTGATTCAGGCCAGAATCTTTTCTGTTTTCAGAATATCCTGAACGAAACATTCTATTATTTAGGTCACATGTGTCAAACACAAGGCCCGCGGGCCAAATCCGTCCCGCCAGGCCCTGCAATGTGGCCCACACCGCGCTGTCATCACTGCACTCCGCTGCGTTTCCATCACAATGACAGTTTATGACTGTTCAGTAAACCATTCAGCCCGCGATTTAGGCTGGATTTTAGATTTTGGCCCCTTCTCTGATTGAGTTCGACACCCCTAATTTAGGTAGTCCAAAATTTTCTTCAGTATTCATTTCTATTTGTGAAAGACTCGTAATAGATGCTGAGCTTTGAATAGAGAGAAGTTTAAGGATTATTAAGAAATACAACTCATGTGACTAAAGCTACCCACTGTTTTATTTTACTAGTAGGACATTCATAAATAAATATATGATCTCTAGAGACTTTTCCACAACTATATTACGTAGACATAAGGAAGCATAAATAGTATTAGCTGATATTTGAATCTTGCTGAGATAATGTATTGGGTCACTCATTTTGAGAGAAATAAGATATATTTTCAAACTTTTTAGTTCTTAAATTTAGGAGTGACTCACTAATATATGGGAAACAATAGGACTATACATAATACCAAGCAGTCCTCTTTTGCCATTGTTGGGAGTATTATTTAATTTTGATTTACTGAATAAGCTATTTTAGGTTCTTTAAAAGGGTGATATAGCCGAAACCGGTTTGGCTCAATGGATAGAGCGTTGGCTTGGGGACTGAAGGGACCCGGGTTCGATTCCAGTCAAGGGCATGTGCCTTGGTTGCGAGCATATCCCCAGTAGGGGAGGCAGCTGATCGATGACTCTCTCTCATCGATGTTTCTAACTCTCTAGCTCTCTCCCTTCCTCTCTGTATAAAATCAATAAAATATATTTTAAAAGGGTGATATAAAAAATAAGGTATGTACATTAAAATCAGCAAGGTTTGTATTATTTTGCTTATCTATATACACTAAGTGGCCAGATTATTATGATCTCTTAATGCATTCAGTTTGTGTGTGTATACACACACACATATACACGTATATACATATATACATACACATACACATACATATACATATACATGTATTAGAGGCATGAATTCGTGCAAGGGTGGGGTCCAGCCAGCCTGGTCAGGGTGGAGGGGACATGGGTGGTTAGCCGACCTGCCTGCTGGTTGAACTCCTGGTTGAGGGGATAATTTGCATATTCGCTTTTTATTATATAGGATATATACTGTGTGGCCAGATTATTACGCATTCAGAGGATCATAATAAATTGGCCATTCAATGTATATAAAAGCCTAATTAACTGTTATGACCAAATGACTGGAATGACTAGTCGCTATGATGCACACTGACCACCAGGAAGAAGATGCTCAATGCAGGAGCTGCCCTCTGGTGGTCAGTGCACTCAGCCAGAAGCCGGGCTCATGGCTGGCGAGTGCAGCTGCAGTGGCAGCAGGTGTAGTGGGACTGGGATGAGTGGCAGTGGAGCTGCGCCCAGCCCCAGCTGCCTGCCACTTTGGCACTGCTATATCTCCTAAAGGGTCTCAGATAGTGAGAGGGCGCAGGCCAGATTGAGGGACCCCACCCGTGCATGAAGCGGGGCTCATGTCTGGTGAGCACAGTGGCAATGGCAGGGCCCTCTCCCGCCTCCACTGCAGGCAGCCAATAAGAAGCTAGGGGTCCTGAACTATGAGAGCTCAGGACTGTTGAGAGGATGCAGGCTGGGATGAGGGATTTTGCACCCCCCCCACACACACATGGTTTTCATGCACCGGGCCTCTAGTTGCTAAATAATTTGGTTCACTGTGAGTAATGGTTATATTAGGAAACATTCTATTATTTAAGAAATCCAATTTTTTTAAACATTAAAATTCGATTATAAAAGAATATTCAGTCATTTTAGAAAATTTTCACATATTGTTATATGGAAAAAGTAGGTTATAGCCTAATCTATATTTAGATGTGAATGTATAAGTAAAAGACTGAAGATTTAGATGCTCTAATATTAATAACCACCACAAAATAGGTGATTGCATGTTCTTTTAGCTGCTCTTTTTAATTCCCAGAATTTTCTAAAATTTTAAGTTGTTTTAAAAATCAAAAGTATATTTAAATAAGCTTTATAAAACAGGTTGCCCAATATGAATACTGGGATGATAATTAGGTATTATTGAAGTATAACATAATAGTGCTCCTGGCTAATAAAAGATGCCTTAGCACAATCCTATTATGTACATTCAGGCTTCCCTGGGGAATGAAATGATTAGAAGAGAAACAACCTGCTGCCTGAAAATTATACCATATTAACTCAGGCATAACAGTATAAAATGTCACCTCTTTGTGATAATGTGGCTAAAGTCCCCTGATACTTGATGTTAAAACATGCTGGAAATTTATTTTGGAGTTGTAGTTATAACTTTAAATATTTACTCTTTCTTAAAATATACTCTTTCATTTTTAGGCATTATCCAATTGGTTTGCTATTTGATCTTCTTGCATCAAGTTCAGCTCTTCCTTGGAACATCACAGTACATTTTAAGGTATAGTTTAAATAGCATTTCCCATTTGTCCCACTTGTGCTTAGTAAGTAGACTTAGAATAGAATTTTTAAAAAAGCGAAGTTGTTTATTGCTTTTCCCGTGGCACTTTTTAATTGCTAAGCTGACATTTGTGTTTATTTATAAAATATTTCCAATTTCTTCCTATTGGCAGAACCATTTAAACATTTAATGTATAAATACCTATTCTTTGTTGGAACCAAATACACTTTAAAATTTATAATATTTTGGAATATTTATATTCATTAAAAAATACATCTCAAATAGGAAGAGCAAATTTCTCATTGTGGATGTGGGCATGGGAGTAAGGAAGGAGAAAAATTAAAACTGGGTAACTCTAAGGCCATTTTGATTGAATTGAGGGAAGGGTTAGGAGACATAAGTTTAAAGAATTGAACTAATTCTGTTTTGAGAAATATTAATTACCATAATTTTAAAGAGACCAGGCTAGATTTATTGTAACCTAATTTTGCCTCAATATCTTATAAAATGCTGGTCCATCTTTTCCTGACTCTCCGTCTCTCATCCCCCAAGCAATTCACAAACACCTCTGAAGATTGAACCGCCTCTATTATTTGATCTCTGAGCACTGATACTGAAATGGAAATAGTGAGAGAGGGGCTTGTTAAGAGTTTGAAAAGTCATTTAGGTGTTTGATTTGTTTTCCCCTAAGGTGCCTATTCAAAGTCATTGCCCAAAGGAGGCTCACTCGTTTTTTCCTAAAATGCTTTCCTCCCCATCTTACTGAAATTGAATTTGTGAGCCATTGGGATTTATTTCTCTATTGTTTGCACTAATATGCTTTGGATAGTACCATGTTACCAAAGATTTTAGTTACCACGGAATCATACAGAATGAAGACATGCTTCCGATACATGTGTTTAACTTTCCATGGTAGCATGCAAAGCAAGGACTGTCTGTATATATTACAGTTTAGAATGGTATGAAGATAAAATTATTCTAAACGTAGAAAGAGTAGAAGTCCCATATTTCCTAACAAGTATTTCCTATATGTTGAAAAATAATTCCAATAATGAGTGTGTGTGTGTGTGTGTGTGTGTGTGTAATGTACTCTCAAATAATTTAGAATTTGTTAAAATATATAATAGCTACTCTTTTATTTATTCATTTAACAAATATTGAGAGTTTGTTGTGTGTCAGCTAGGCAATATTCTAGGAGCTTGGGATGTATGAGTGAATGACACAAAGACACTTAGACACTTTGGTACCTACCTTGTACCACTACATACTAAGCCCTTTGTAATTATTGATGGAATGAGACAACGTGTTATAAGAATGATAGAGAAAGCTTTGAATTGTTAGAATTGGTATAGTGTAATGATTCTTAAAGGGCACTGTGAACCCATGGGAGTTTCCAAAATCTTTTCAAGGTATTCATGAGGTCCAATCTGTTTCTTTAATAATAAATATGAAGATGCTGTTTTTCCTTTCCACTGTACTTATAATTGTACTGGTCTGCAGAAGTGTTGCTGGGTAAAACTATTGGCACTTTAGCACCAACCAAGGCAGTGCACCAAACTACTAGTATTCTTCACCGCCATGCACTGAATGTTCTGGCTGAAGCAGTATACATTAATTATTATTAATCTTGACTTTTCAGTGCATTTCATTTTAATCTCTAGTGAAATGAAATGGGAAGTGCACGTCAAACATTTTGCTGTATGGCAAATATTGTGTTGTCCTAAGGAAAAGCACTTGTACCCTTATTTGAGTTGCACGCTGAGCAAGCCACTTTTTTTCATGAAACAGCAATTTTAATTTAAAAGAGTAACTATAGACAAACTGTTTTTTTAGAGTTGGGTATTTGTCAGACAGTTTCATGAAAATAAACAAAGTGAGACTCTCTTGCAAGTAAAACAAATGACAGTATTTATTGCCAGTGACAAAACTTGAACTTTTAAAATGAAAATTAGAATTTTGGAAAACATGTATCTGCTACCATGAGCTTGACAGTTTTATTATTCTTAAAAGAATTTTTGATGAGGTTTATAGTCATTTTAACAAATCTGATTTTTAAGAAATCTTACATAATGAAATATGTCAACATTTGGAAATCTTTATTAACTCAGTAAACAGATATTTTACAAATGGTAAATGCATGTTAAAAAAATTGTGCTGTGTTAAAAGATCCATTCAAAGTTCTAAGGTTGGATTTTTAGTGCTTGGGAAGGCACTACTTCTGGTCCTGGCTGGTACTTGTTCTTTAAGTATACTTGTAGGACTGACTACACCCCTTTTTTTGATGGACTAGTTCTTTCTTGCTAGGCCAAGAGCAACTGTATTTCTCAGGTAATTTACCATATCCCAGCTTCTTCTACTGTGTGTTGATGACATAGGCAGTGATTTCTTATGTAACACTTAAAGCACAACAAACCAAACAAAAAACATATATTGGATTTCATCAAAATGAAAAACTTTCATGCAAGTGAAAATACAACCCACAGAATAGGAGAACATAGTTGCAAACTCACATATCTAATAAGGACTCCGATTCCAGGATATACAAAAACTCATTGAATTCAAATAATAAAAAAGTAAATAGTCAATTAAAAATGGGTAAAGGATTTATATAGAGATTTCTCCAAACATGATACAGCGAGGGACAGTAAAGATGTTCAGCATAATTAGTCTTTAGGGAAATGCAAAAAAAGACTTCAGTTGCCCTGGTCAGTGTGGCTCAATTGGTTGGGTGGTGTCCCAAGCACTGAAAGGTTGCTGGTTCCATTCATAGTCAGGGCACCTACCCAGTTTGTGGGCTCGATCCCCAGTTGGGGTTGTTTGCAGGAGGCAGCGATCAATGCTTTGCTCTTACATAGATGTTTTTCTCTCACCCTCTCTTTTCCTCTCTCTCTGAAAAAAAAGTCAATTAAAAATATTTTTAAAAAGACTCCAATAAGTTACTTTTTCACACCCACTAAGATAGCTATAATTTAAAAATTGGACAGTTGTGGACTAATTGGTACTACCATGTGTTATGTTACTATTGGGAAAGTAAAATGATGCAGCCATTCTGTAGAGCAGTCTGGCAGTTCTGCAAATGGTTAAACATAGACTTGTGGTATGACACAGTAATTACTCTAATAGTTATATACCCAAGGGAATTGAAAAACATATGTCTACCCCAAAACTAGTACATTATGTTCGTAGCAGCATTAGTCATAGTGGCCAAAAAGTGGAAGCATCCCAAATGCTTATCAACTGAAAAAAAATGTGTTCATATAACAGAATATAATTTATTCATGAAAAGGAGTGAGGTACTGATATATACTTTAGTATAGATGAACCTTATACTTAAGAGAAAAAAAGGAGACACAAAGGCTTCAATTATATGATTTATATATGAAGTATTCAGAATATGAAAATCTTTAGAAAAAGTATATTAGTTGTTTTTAAGAGCTGGAGAGATGACAGAATGGAGTGGCTGCTTACAGTATATTAGTGGCTGCTTAAGGTTTCTGGTGTGATGAAAATATGTAGTTAGATAGTGATGGTTGCACAACCTTGTAAATATACTAAAAACACTGATTTGCACTTCTTAAAATGGATGGCGAGTTTTAAATGAATTGTATATGAATTATATCTCAATTATAAAATAATGGTTACTAATTTCCCATATTTGGGAGAAAAAAAGTCAATGTGTATCACAGAAGCTCAGCAAATCCCAAGGAAGTAAATATATAGAACACTACACCCGGGCACATCATAATTAAACTGCTGAAAACCAGTTTTAAATGGAAAGTCTTAAAAGCAGACACACGAAGATGACACATGACATAAGAGAACAGTAAGGTGAATGATGGCTGATGTAGCATCAAGCAGTGGAGATCAAAAGACAATGAAATGACATCTTAAAGGATTGAAAAAACTACTAGCAGGAATGAAGAGCTCTGGCAATGGTAGATATAAAAGACAACCTCTTTTCACTTTAAAGGAAAAATGACTGTTAAAAGCAAGAATAATACAGTTTTAAGGAAGGTTAATAATTTTGTGCTGTGATTCACCTAAAGCAGTGCTTAGAGGGAATTTAAGACTTTTTTATATTTGTATGGAAATACACTACTGATAACAGGAATGAAAAATGGGATTTTGCTACAGTTCCTACAGCTATTTAAAGGATAGTAGGAAATATCATGAACAATTTTATGCAAGCAAATTTGACAAATGAACAAATTCAATGAAAACACAACTTATCAAACTGACGCAAGAAGTAGCAAATATGAATAGCCCCTTCTTAATGTATAAAGAACAAATTTCTCACAGTAAAACTTCTTGCTTAGTTTCATTAATGAATTTTGATATTTAAGAAATAAATAATATCAATCTTTACATATGGTTTAGTAAATAAAAGAAAGGGGAATGTTTCCCAAGTTGCTTTGCAGGCCAGAATAACTCTGAACTAAAACCTGTTAAAGATATTAAAAGAAAAAAATAACTTCTAACCAGTATCACTCATGAATATAATGGTAGATGCAAACACTCATAAAAATACTAGCAAATTGAGTATTTTTTGGATAAGGCACCATGACCATGTTGAGATCATCTCAGGAATGATCAGGGTGATTCAACTTTTCAAATATCAATTAATCAAAGTAATTCAACACATTAACAGGGAAAAAAGCAGAAAAATTATGATTGGATTAAATAGATGCAGAAAAACCTTTTGAGGAAATTTAGTTCCTATTTGTTATCAAAAGGCTTTAGCAAGCTTTTGAATAGAAGGGAATTTTTCTCAATTTGACACAGTAAATATGAAAAGCCTACAACTAAAATTCATAGTAAATGGTGCTTCAATGAATGTTTTCACTCTAAGATCAGGAAATAGACAAAATTGTCCCCATCACTTTGACACAAGCAGTTTTGGTTTTGCTCTTCTACTATAAAGGACTGTGCTATTAAAAATCAAAGGATTTATGGGGAAAATATGTTAGGGGCACAAAATTAAAAAACTTCTTTAGTGAAAAATGTAAAAGATTGCAACCTAATAAAAGCATAGTTTTATAAATATTAATTAAGAAACACTTAAATGCTGTAAAAATTATGGTACTTTGTGTTGAAAAAGACTAGACATTTTTTCGTAGGAATGAACACTGTGTTTGCTGCTTGTTAGTTGTGGTGAAAGGAAAGTTATCTGAAATTAGACAAAAGTAGAACATTGGCTGTGAATAGCTCATAATGTGGATTGAGGTAGCAAGTTTGCTTCTGAGAGATGTCTATTTTGTGTGGCTTGGTTTGGCTGGATTCAGTTTTCTGTGCTCACCTAGTATTTCTTGTAGACAATATTTATAAAGATAAACATGAACCGGTTTATATCTGTGGATAGAGCGTCGGCCTGCGGACTGAAAGGTCCCAGGTTTGATCCGGTGAAGGGCATGTACCTTGGTTGTGGGCACATCCCCAGCAAGAGGCAGCTGATGGATGTTTCTCATCGATGTTTTTAACTCTCTATTCCTCTCCCTTCCTCTCTGTAAAAAATCAATTAAAAAAAAAAAAAACATGAAATTTACATTGCTCTAATTGTCCCTTAATATATCTTTCTCTTAAACAGACAATTCATATATATGCATATATGAATATGTAATATGCATAATAATATTACATATATATACTAGAGGCCCAATACACAAAGATTCGTGTAAGACTAGGCCTTCCATCTCCTGGCTGCCTGCACTGGCTTCCCTTTGGCACCCGGGACCTGAGCTGCTTTGCTCCAGCTTCCTCCTCCACCACTGCCAGGCATCTGGGACCGGGGCGGCTCTGCTCCAGCTGGTCACTGCTGCCACCCACTGGGGCCGAACTCCCAGCTGCGCAGTGGCCATTTGGAGCATGCTCCCACCCTTGATGTGTGTCCGCTGGGGCTGAGGGTGGCACGCTGTCCCCTCCCACCCATCTGCGCATGCAGCTCCTCCTGAGCAGTCCTGAGTGATGCAGCCTCCTCCTGAGCCGGTTGTGACGCCCGGCTAATTTGCATATTACCCATTTTTATATATAGATGTTCTTATGGGAATAACCAATTAGCACAAGAAAAGGTGCTTAACATCTTAAGTCCTCAGGGAAATTTATTTAAAATCTCAATGAGATATTGATTCACACTTTAGTGTAATTAAAATAAAAAATATTGACAGTACCAATTTTCAGGATATGAGTAACTCTCATACATTGTTGGTGAGAGTATAAATTGTACTACCACCTTGGAGAACAGTTTGACAGATTTTAAATAAAATTAAACATAAACTTCCTCTATGACCCAACATGTTATATATATATATATATATATATATATATATATACGTATATATATATATATACACACACACACACACACACACACACACACACACACCAAGAAAATTAAAAATATGTGCACAAAAGTCTTGAACACTAATGTCATAGCAGTTATCGTAATAAGCAAAATCTGGATACAATCTTAATGTCTAACAGATTGGGAATTAACATATAGTTGTACGTTCATCGTATACTATTTAGCAACAAAAAGGAACTAACTACTGATACACGCAGTAACAGATGAATTTCAGAAGTGTTAAGTGGAAGATGCTAGATTACCCAATACTACATAGTCTATGATTCTGCTTATATGCAGTTATAATAATAAGCAAAATTAGCCTCTGATGATAAAAAAATTAGATCAGTCAGCTGGGATAGAAATGAGGGAACTGATTGCAAAGGGCACCAAAGAACTTTTGAGGGGTTATAGTAATATTCTGTACCCTTTTTGGGCTGACAGTTATGCAGTGTCAAAATTCATCTTAACTATCCATTTAACTGTTCACTGCATTTTATTGCCTATAAATCATATCAATAAATTTGAATTACTTTTTAAAGTTTATTGAGAGAGAACAGAGAGGTGACAACAGTCATAGTGTCTCTGTCTTGTGGCGCTTACAGAATATAAATATAGAATCAACCAGAAGGGATTTGTGAAAATTTAACCTAGACTTGGGGAGTGAGAGAAACTTCCTGTAGAACATGATGTCTAAAGTGAACTTGAAGGTTGAGGAGAATGGGTGGGCAGTTGTGGGGGGAGGGCAGGCGTGTAAATGGTAGAGAGATCATCGGCAAGGACATAAAGTTACAGGTGCAGAAAATAGATTGTGTAAATGCAGAAATGAGTATGACTGAAAGAACGTTTGAGTAGATGACATATTCAGGATCATTGGAGTAGAGATTGTGTGTGGTGGGGGAGTGGGGAAAGAGAAGAGTATATGAAATGGGAGTAAGAGAATTTGCTGGAGAGGTTGGTTAGCAGAGATGTAAGTCATTCAGAAAATGGAAGGCTTTAGAAGTAGTTTGATTTTATCCTAAAGTAGCAGATCAGCTGAGTGATTTGTATTTTAGGAAGATCACTGTGAATCCAAATATGAAGTATAAACGAAAGGGGTGTAAGATTGCCTGGGAACCAGTTAGGAGGTTTTCAGAACAGTTCATTTTTAGTTTGTGCTGGAAAGTGGCAGTGGAAATGTTGAAAGTGAGTGGCTTCAGATGTTCTTAGGATGTAGACTCAACAGAACTTGAGTGGATGCGGGAGTTTTTTGTTTTTGTTTTTTACTTATTCAGCTTTCCATGACTTAAGTTATTGAATGTTTTCTATTAATACAGTAATACGATTAGGCTATGATTAAATGATATTTTCTACCATTATTATCGGACTCTTTATTGAAGGACTTATAGAACAAAGTCTTTTCCTGTAAAATAACATTCGAATATAATCATTAAGTATTTAGGTGTTATGGAGGAAATAGTGTTGCATTGTGGTTAAGAGCTGGGACTATGAGGCATACTAATATTAGCTCTACCACTTGCATACTGTATGACTATCTACTCCCTGAGCTTTAATTTTAAAAAATCTGTATAATAGCAATGACAATAGTGTTTAAAGGGTTATTATAAAGTTTAAATTATCTATACTAATAAAAGGGTAATATGCAAATTGGCCACGAAATCCTCACAGTAACAACTGAACAGCAGGCTGCCTAGGTCAAGCAGGCCAGTGAGGGAGGGGGCAGTTGGGGGCAACCAGGCGGGGAGGGGGGGCAGTGAGGGGCGATCAGGCTGGTGGGGGCAACAGTGAGGGGCGACCAGGCTAGCGGGGGGCCAGTTGGAGGCTACCAGGCCGGCAGGGGCACAGTTGGGGGTGACCAGGCCTGCAGGGGGGCAGTTGGGGGCGACCAGGCCAACTAGACTGGCAGGCAGAGGCAGTTAGGGGTGATCAGGCTGGCAATGGGGACAATTAGGGGCAATTGGGCAGGCAGGGAGGTGAGCACTCAGGAGCCAGTGGTTCTGGATTGTGAGTCAGACCTCCCCCGAAGGGTCCCAGATTGGAGAGGGTCCAGGCTGGGCTGAGGGGACCCCCTCCCCCATGCACAAATTTCATGCGATGGGCCTCTAATAATTATATAAAAAGTCTTACTAGCACAATGTTACATAGTATTCAATTAGTGTTAGGTATTGCTGTTTTCTTTTTTTTCCATTGAAAAGTGTACTAGTCATCTCATTTGCATAACGGTTTATCTGATTTGTGATTATTGCCTCTACTGCCTGAAAGATTCACTGAAGGTATAGGATATAAATTTAGCTATTTGACCTTAAACATTACATTTTAACAACTTTCTTAAACTAATTGGTCTGTAGCAAGCTATGCATATTGAAAGTGTATACTTTCATAAGTTTATACCACACTTCGTTTTTATTTACTTTTTGACATTTAGGTTGTTTCCTGTTATTTTTTTGTTTTTATTTGGATGATACAAATAAAGCTGCTGTGCCCACTAATGTACAAGTCTTAGGTAAATACCTAGTTCTAGAGCAACTGGATCAGATGATAGGTATATGTTTACTTAACAAAAACTATCAAACTGTTTTCCAAACTAGTTGTACCATTTTACATTCCCACCAACGGTGTGTGAGAGTTCCATTCCACACTCTTGCTAACACTAGGTATGGTCAGTCATTAAGCTACTTTTAAAATTAGTACTGTTTCATATTTTTGTTTCATGTTGTTATAAACACGTCATATATGGTTTATTTGGAAGAAGTATAAAATATATCTTAATCTTTAATTGTACTGAAGTCTCTATTAAGAAGGTAAGATTTGGTTTACTAAAAATATTGAAAAACTGGGGGAGATATAGTTCTTTGAGAAGCTAATTTTATAGTTTTATATGTATACATATTTTTTCCCTTTGATAGGGTTTTCCAGAAAAGGACCTTTTGCACTGTCCATCTAAGGACACAATTGAAGCTCATTTCATGTCTTGTGTGAAAGAAGCTGATGCATTAAAGCACAAAAGCCAAGTAATCAATGAAATGCAGAAAAAAGATCACAAGCAGCTCTGGATGGGATTACATAATGGTAAATATAGCAGTGTTTAATTTCAGAACACCCTTTGTGAAGTATGGAGTAACTGTAATTCTGCAAATAATCGGTACATTTTAGGATTGATGGTATAAGTTTAGAGTGCAGTCTCTAAGCACAAAGTTTTGCAAAGAAGCTACCTTTAGTTATTCCTTAAATTATACTCTCCCAATAGACCTCTATTCCTGGATTCCCAGCATTGGACTGATTGCTTTGCCCATAACATATCATAGTGGAAACTTCCTGTGTTTAGCTTCTGGGAAAAGTGCCTTACTCCTAATCATGATCCTTTTGGAATTGCAATTGAATACATACTGTTTGCATACCAAAGCACCTCCATTTGGGTTGGGCATTTGGGCAACCTTTATTTTCTCTGAACAATAAGACTTGCTTTGTGCTTAGATACTCTCTCTTGGGTCTTAGAAAATACACTCAAGGAATAAACTGAGGGCAGTCTGTAATTTACCTCTGTATTCTTCATCTTTTAAAGATCATAGTTCCTTAATCTTTCCTGCCTTCCAGTTCCTTAAGACAGTTCTATGTACAGGAAGTCTTTGCTTTGCACAAATCCAGTATGCATGAGCTTTAGTTAAATAATATCATTCCAAGTTGCCAAGAGAGTAAATCTTCAAAGAAAAAATATTTTTTGTAATCTTCATATGGTGACTGATGGTAACTATTGTGGTGAGAATTTTGCAGCATGTACAAATATTGAATCATTGTATTGTACACCTGAAACAAATATAATATATGTTAATTATACTTCAACTTAAAAAAAGTTCCAGTTTCCTAAGAATATGGTTTAAATTTCATTTTCCATGCTATTTAATAATTACATAAAGTACAAGCTTGATTGGCAGCTCTTCAGTTGTGAATCATTATGCAATAATACATATGCATTGTGATCAGTGATCAGTCACTTCACTTCTTTCCGTGTCGGTCAGTGAATTGTTATTATGCATCTGTTATTTTCATCCATAGGCAGCAAAGCATGTAGTTATGTTACTTCCTTGTCTCCCATGATAAGTCCACAGAACGTTTTATCACACTGGATAATCAAAAGAAGGAGTTGGCTAAGAAAGATGAAAATTAAGTAAAGAAAGAAAAAGTGGTAATTCTGTAAGCTAAATTTGAATAGAACGTAATGGAATTATAGAAGACAAAGCTGACTATGAGAATGTGGACACTACCACCATTTGAGAGAGTTTAGATAACCATAGGAAATTAATGAGGGTGAACTTCCACATACATGTGGGAAGTGTTGTGATGAAAAAAGTGAAGCTATCCCAGAGGAAGTGATGCTGGCAAAAAAAACACATTAAAGGGATATATATTTCATGACATTGAAAGCGAAAATGGTAGTATGTTAGAAATTGATTCAAACTTGCAGAGGATTATGACAATTCACCACAATTTATGAAATACTAGAGGCTCTGTGCATGAAATTCATGCGTTGGTAGGGTACCTAGCAACTGCTGGCTGCCTTCCCCTGGCCGCCTGCCTCCACCACCAGCCAGGGCCTCCTTCCTTCCCCCGGCCGTCCCTGTCTCTTGGAACTCCTGGTTGAGGGAACAATTTGCATACTATGCTTTTATTATATAAGATGCTTGTTGGTAAGTTATATGTTCAGGAAGCAAGCACTATTCAAACATAATTAAGCTTTTTTATTTTTTAACAAAGTAATAAAACACTTTAATTCTCCATGTTCCAAATGTTTTAAATTACTGTGTACTAAATAAACACGGGATTAGTCTGATTTACATTGTTATTTTTCTGTACATTTATAATCAGAGTTTTTAATGTTTTTGACAGTTTTGTAAAGATCACTGAACAATTGTGATTTCTCCTTAATTGTTGAGATCATTTTGCATGTTTATATCTTGCATGGTCACTTTTCTAGTCCCATACTGCTATGCAAAGCAAGGAAAGCCAATAATCTGTCGATCTTTTAGAATTGTTTTTATACAAGGAATTAGTCAAATATAAGGTGCTCTTTTATAGCAGCTATCAGAATAAAAAAACCTATAATTTAAAAAATGTATAAAAATGCATAACCCATGGACAAAGAGCACCTTAGTCAAATATAAGGTGCTCTTTTATAGCAGCTATCAGAATAAAAAAACCTGTAATTTAAAAAATGTATAAAAATGCGTAACCCCTGGACAAAGATAATAGTGTGGTGAAGGGGTGAGGGGCAGGGATGGAGGCAGGCTAGAAGAGGTCAGTGGCGGGGCGAGAAAGGGACATACTTTAAACAATAAAGTTAAATTAGAAGAAAACAAAAAGCAAAAAATTAAAAAAAAAAAGTGATCCAGTTTTATCTTCTGGACTATATTGTCACCATGTCAAAGAGGTGTTTATAGTTATTTAAGAATTAAAATTTCATTATGCAAGATAACAGTATTATCTAACTTCAGTATACAAAAGGCACATATTTTATGACTCTGTACTCTAAATTAAATTTTCTCATTTCTTTTAAGTGTCTTAGATTTAATTTGAGTTACATGGAATTGCACATAGTTGTACCTCTGATATTTAGCAACTATATTATTGCAGAGGTAGGCATCAGGCCTTTCACCTCATTTATATTACTGAATACACAAATTTTTATTAAACGATTAAAAGTTTACAGTCTCTTAAGGTATACTTTTCCCTTTTCCTTGCTGGTTATTTGAAGATGAAGTGGCGTTATAGGAGACTTGTGAATTAGAAGATTGCCTAAATTGAAGAAGACAGGAATCTTCCAAAGAGAAAAGGGATCTGAGAATAATTTGGGTTCAGAATTGAAGTAAATAATTTAAATGAACATTTAAGTAGATGTTCTTGAACTCTGTTGTGAATGTGATGAGTCAGCTACAGAGAGCTTATTCATAAGCAGAGGATTCTAAAAAAGATTAAAATGTTTCATTTGGGGCATTAGAGGGTTGGGTGTGGAGGGTGATGGTTAAGAATTGTGAAAAGGAAGGCCTGGTTTTTAGTTATCAGCTCTGCTAGTAGCTTCTTGGGACAAGTCACCCACTTCTTTTAGCTTCAGTTTCTTTCTCTTGTAGGTGCCCTGAGAAGCTTTAGTGAAACACTAATACAGTTTATGTGAAAGTGCTTGAAAGGAAGCAAAGCTGTTTTGATAAAAAGAATTATCAAGAAGTCACTATGAGACTCCAGAACTAGGGTTGGCAAACAGTGGTCATGGCCAGCCATCTATGTAAATTAGGGGTGTCGAACTCAATCAGAGAAGGGGCCAAAATCTAAAATCCAGCCTAAATCGCGGGCCGAATGGTTTACTGAACAGTCATAAACTGTCATTGTGATGGAAACGCAGCGGAGTACAGTGATGACAGCGCGGTGCGGGCCACATTGCAAGGCCTGGCGGGACGGATTTGGCCCGAGGGCCTTGTGTTTGACACATGTGATGTAAATAAAGGTTAGAACTCTGCCACACCCATTCATTCATGTGTTTTTCTATGCTGCTTTCATGCCACAAAGGCAGTTAGATAGTCATGGCAGAGACCTTGTGGCTCACCACATGAAATATTTATATTTGTTGACTTTTTTAGAAATACTTGTCAGCCATAAAAGATTGGCCAAATCAGCAACTTGTATTTATCATTTACCTAAAACATGACTCAAAATGCCACATACTCAGAACTTGGTATAGCATAATGTATCACACTTAGTCTAATAACTGCTTTCAGTGATTTTTAAAAACTACATTTAAAATGCATATCTTTTAAAATTGATTTCAGAGAGTAAGGGGGAGAGAGAGATAGAAACATTAATGATGAGAAAGAATCATTGACTGGCAGACTCCTGGGCACGTCAGCCTGCAACCTGGGCATGTGCCCTGACCTGGAATCAAACTGCGGCCTCCTAATTCATAGGGTGATGGAATAAAATTTTTTCCCTGGCCAAGTAGCTCAGTTGATTGGAACATCCTATTCATTGCAAGGTTTTGGGTTCAATTTCTGGTCAGAGCACATACCTAGGTTTCAGGTTGAATCCCTGGTTGGGGTGTGTCGGGGAGGCCAACCGACTGATATTTCTCTCTCACATTGATGTTTCTTCCTACTTTTCTCCCTCCTCCCCTCTTTTCCTCCCTCCCTCCCTCCTTCCCTCCCTTCCTCCCTTCCTCGTCTCTTAATAAAAACATCCTTGAATGAGGATTTAAAATCTTTATATTTTTATTCCATTTATATATTTAGCTATTATTTTTGTAGCTATTGTGTTCAGTTTTGTTTATGTTGGTAATGATTGGGCTTACACACTCAAAATCTTATGTGAGGTATCCTGTGGATACTGGAGACTTTGATAGTTTATTTTCTACTTTTTAAAAATGAAAATTTTAATTTAGGAAATTTTTAGCTGGACGAAGGTTATAGAAAATGTTACTATCTGCATTAGAGTAAATTGGTGAAAGGTGGATGTAGAAGTTAATTTGTTCCTTCTGCTTAGAATGCCCTTTCCGATCCTTTTTGTCTATGTAATTTCTGCTTATGTTTTAATGCTTATCTCTTTAGTCAACTTCCATGTGAAGCCTTCCCTCTTTTTTAGCCAACAGATATTTATAGCACATTTAACTTGTGCCTGACACTGTTCTAGGAGCTAGTGACCATCCAGCAGTGAGTGAACAGACATGGACCCTGTTTTCGTGGAGCTTCCAGTCAGTGGAGGCAGAACTATTCTTTTCATGCTATTGTGGCTCCTTATCCATTTTTATGCACTTTTACTCTCATATTTCATCACACTCTAGAATAGTTGTAGTTTATGTATTCTGCTGGAATACAAATTTCTCCTGGTTAGACTGTATTATACATTTTGGTATCCCTAGCACCTATTCTAGTCTTAGGAGTAAACAAAATAAACATTGACTGAATGAATGACTCCTTTATTTTATTCCTTTCTCATACTATAAGGAAGTCATATTAACAGCTTTTTATAAATAGTTTAATTTTAGTATAAAATAGCAGAAGTGCCTTGTTTTGACTTTCCAAAATAGTTTG